CAAATAAGCACGACAAGTTAGATCAACTCAACTCTGTGCATTTATGGATTCACAGATGTCTTATTCTACAGAGTATAGAAACAGATTCTGTCTTATTGGCAAAAAAAAAAAGCAGCAATTTCAGCAACTAATTGCATATTGGTCGGGAATGCTTTTGATGTGAAATACATAAATGATAAGGCAGCGAACTGAGTCGGGGACCGTATAATACTTTTAAACTACAGCTAAGTATGTGCCTTAGATAGAGAGGAACTTACACAACAATAAATATTATGATATCAGTCGATTTTATAGAACAACAAGAAACATTTTCTTTAATACATTTGTGAAATTCATAACTTGTTTTCTTTTTATTTTCTTAATGAGTCAGTATAAAGAAATGATAGTTAATATTAAGAGCATCCAAGTTTGTCTAAGAATACATTATACATCATTTACTGTCATTGCAATCTTTAATCGATATAATTAGTATTTCGATTTGGTTCATTTGTGTTCAATTTATTCAACTTTCCCCTAAAAATATAAAATTTCTTTTTGATAATCTGTTTATGCCCTGAGGCAAGGCTTCTGAGTGCGCTACTGTTGCTACAGATGCACATATAATGTACATATATAATCAACCTGATCTCATCATGATGATTATCAACATGTTGACTTGTCCAAATGATGACCAAATTATGCCATAAATGCCAAGGCGAAATAAAAGTGCCAAAAAGCGAACAGAAACTTAAACAAAATCATGAATCGCTGCTTTCAACGCGCTTCGAGGTTAACTCGAAACTCGAAGTAAATAATGTCTCGTAATATAATCGTAGTTGTAATCGTCATCGTCACCGTAATTGAGCAGTGATCTCCCAACTATATCATAATCCAAGCGTATGGCAATCAAGCCATCAACATAAAAAAAAAATAAGAAAAATAAAAAACGAAAGGAAAAAACACTTTCATTAAACTAAATTTTTATTGTGGCACCACTGTTGAATATAACAACTGGAAGCCCTTTGGATCCCCAGAGTCGATATTAAGTTCGAGTTTAAATTTGAGTTCGAGAGATCGCGTTATATGCATTTATGGCGGTCAACTATAAAAGATTGACCCAGTTTCTTATTCGAGACAACATTCAAGACAAAATTGCTACAAATTACACATTTTTCGCGGCGCAAAAGTGTGCCACATGCCGCACGCGTAGGACAAGGAACAAGAGGCATACGGGGTGGGTCAGGGGACACACACTTTTACCCATTGCAATTAAGCTGCAGCAGTGCGATGCTACAGATTAAAGTAAATAATATCAATAATAATTCCAGCAGCAGCAAACGAAAAAGATGATGAAGAAGAAGTAACACAACAGAAACCATTCATAAACTCGAAAATGAAGCAAGCAAAAGGCAAAAGAAAACAACCACAAAAAAAAAAAAAAAACATGTTATCGGTTATCGGAGCTGTGGTGCTGCTTCGGGAAAGCTCTCGCGCTGCCAAGTGTCCAATTCGAGTCGCTCGCTTATCGCAGTTATCCTTTTGATTTATCTCACACTCGCACGCCGCACTAATTGCATTCATAATAAACAATTTCGCAATTATTACACAGCAACCCAACAACCCAGCAACCGTCCCAGCAGCCAGCCGCACATTTATCGATTGCCCTTTATCAGATGTGACGTGCTTCTCATTAGCTTCATTTTTTTCCTAACCCAAATGGTTAAACATTATATATATGTGTCTATATATATATTAATGGACATCATGAAGTTGTGGCAGGTTCTTGCTATAAGCTTCAAGTTGAAGATAATGAATAGAAGCCAGACCAAATTGATTTCATTTAATTATAAAATCAATTTCCTTTTTATTAGTAATACACCTACAAATATATCGTATAGTGTTGATAAAACGTAAAAGTTTTTACCTTACACAAAAGTGATCAGAAGGTACAATATATGATAGTTAGAGACTTGGTTATTTAGAGTATTTCGGTGTCGGGTTCGGTCGACTAGAATGCTCTTACTTCATTTCCCACTTCGTGTTTATTTTTGTTGCCTTCGTAGGCCAAATGAAAATTGTACTGGAGTCTCCTCTTTCGACTCTTATCTGCGCACTGAGAACTGCGAAATTTTACAACACAGCGAGAACAACAACAACAGCAACAACAACCTGGCATCCTTATCGAAGAGTTAACATCTGGCAACGCAGACGAAGACATACGATCTTCGGGCATTTGGGCTTTTCGGCATTGGATTGGATGGATGTACAAACATACACAAGTATATGCCAAGACTTTTGTCGAATAGTTGCAAACTTATTTACATTTAATTTGCATTTTTGAAGGGAATCGACGCGGCAGACAGAGACAGAGAGAGAGAGAGAGTAGTAAATAGGTAGAGAGTGAGAGGGAGACAGGGAGAGAGTAAAGGGATTGGCATATTTAGCTGCCAATAAGCGAATATATTGAGAAGAAGGCATTCATCGTCATCAGAACGCTAACAAAGATACGCCAAGTGCAGCATGAATAATCTGGTCATGCACCAATTGAGAAATGTTAGTTTAAGCCAAATTGAGAAAATATTTGTTATACTCTTTTATCAATGTTCGAGCGCCTTGAAGCAGCTCATAAGTCTTAAAGATTCGTGGTCAGCATTACTAGCTGAGTTGATATGCGAACTGACCGATTTATGAACATCAATCGTGATACTATATTTGGGATTTAATATATTTACTTTCATAAATATTCTTAAGATGATCAACTTAGCATATAAGATAATTATTCTATTCAAAATAATGCTAAGACCATTTAAAGTAATACAATATTTTGTATTTAATATATTTACATTTATATATATATATTTTTATGACGTTAAGCTCTATCATATAAAATAATTATACTATTCAAAATTAGACTAAACACAATTAATACGAACATTTTAGCTGTTGTGTGTGTTTAATCGCCAAGGACTCCTCTTACTATGCAAAAACGCACAATTTGCAGATGGACCAAGCGACAAAGCCGTTATCAAAGATGTTTTCATTTGTTGCATGTGCGCACTAACACTCACACTCAGATACACACACACACACACTCAGACTGTTGTGTGTATCTGCTTTTGATTGCCGCTGATCTGTTGCGGCCTTTGAGGTCTGTGTGTCTGTGGCAAAAACGTTGTTGCGTCCTCTTATCGGAGACAATGTTGTGCCTCATGTGATTGTTGTTGCTTGTTGCTTGTTGCTTGCTGTTTGGCATTGTCGTTGTTGGTGTATTTAAGCACACATTGATAATCATTAGTTAAGTTGTTAACTGATTTCGTTTAGAGATTTGTCAAGCCAATGAGACAGCGCCAACTTCTTTTCATGCTTTTGCAAATATTTATCGACAACAACAATAAGTTAACAAGTTCATAAATCAAGCGCTCCTTTGACCACTCTAATGAGACAGATTGCTGCAGCCAAAGAGAGATCATGTTCAAAGATCACAAATCCTCTCAAAACTTAACTGAGCTAAAAGTCCGGGTGGAGAGGTCAGCAAGTTCTACTCTTGGTGGTCTGCCCTCAAACGTGGCTCTCAATTACAAAACACAAATGATATTTTATTGGTATTTGATGAGCGTCGAAATGTGCAATTGCGCTTGGCCAATAAATTTCACCAGGAGGTACGAACGGGCCTGCAATCGTCTCGGTTCAGCTGCTACACAGAGAGAAAAACGAAATTGTGAATGAATTTTTAACTCATCAGATCAAAGTGAACAATCTCATATAAAGCCCGAACCTTATATTTGATCAAACTGAAAACATTAAAACAAACTTAAACATTAACATAACACATTTTATTATTTTTCTCTATTTGTTTAAAGTGAGGTTAAGGTGCGAAATTCGATTAAAGGCAGTGCAGTGTCATCAATTGCTGATGCCGATCGACATAATTTAATTTATATTTGTCTTTTGTTTATTCCATAAACACGAGTGCCTTTAATCAAATTTCGCCGAGTGTATGTACATATATTTTTTTGGCTTCACGTTTTTGCCACTCTGATCACTTTTGATAGGTTTATTTTAAATTCTTTTCAGTGTGCAGCTTCCAAGGCAATTGCACTTATTAACCCAAGGCTCATTAGAGGATCGCTCGGTGGGTTCGGTGCTTCGTCTTCTGGGCCCACCAACAAAGTTTCCCAATATGAGCTTATGTATGTGTATATTATGTATTTCTTTTTTTTGGATTTTTTTTTTTATTTGATTGGGTGTAGGAACCAGTGACTCGGAGTCCGGGCTGCGTATAATTCCTAATCCATGACACAGCACAAAAAATAACATCACATAAATAATGCGTGCATTCGGAGAGTCCAATTTCTTTTGCATGCAACATGTGTTTCGTCTTCTTCTTCTTCACTTTTACAATAAATCACGCGAAACGGAAGGCCAATTAAACGCACTCCAGAAGATGAGAGAAATACCAGTTTGTTATTTTGCTCTTTGGTTTTCCAGTTGCAACTTAATCAGCTGACGTATTTTAAGAAGACAATTCAAGAACATGTTTGGACAGTGCAGTCTCGAGAATCTGAAAGCCCTCATCAACCAATAAATAGAAACTTAGATTTGTTTTGGCTAAAACTGAATCAATTTGGAAAAGCTTTGCATTTCCCTAAGCCTTTTTTGAGGTTTCCTAACAGAATATTCTGTCAAAAGAATGTACCAACATTTTCTGTCCAAAGAAAGCACTTTCACAATGATATCGGGCATAATAAGGTTGTGTCGACTCAGCACTGACCGCTTATTCGTGCATACAGAAGTTATTTGGAATATCAGTTTTCATATCAAGTTTATCTTATTAAATCGCTAATTTCTCCTTTCCCTCAATATCGATTAGAATTGATTACTGATAGCAACATAATCCACAATTCTAAAGAAATATCTTTCTGGCCGGGATTTTATATGCCTTAACATTAATCATTTAGCAGTCTCACTCGTTATTTACAGACTCTTCCCAAACCCATGTTCCTTAAATCACAATACACGAATTGAAAGCACATAATTTATTTCCAATCTTATCACTTTATATCACATTCAGTACAGAGAATTATGATATTTCAAATTTTAGCAAATAAAAAAAAAAAAACAAGATACAATTTTACATAAATAGATAAATATTCTTCACTGCAAATAATTCAACATTTTCCAGAACAAAACCATCACCAACAGGCCGAATTCAAGGGCAGGCATCCTTTGTAGATTACCAGCCCCTCCACCTTGTGGATTTCCACCTCCCTGAGGCCCACCACCCTGAGTTCCACCTCCCTGGGTTCCACCACCTTGAGTATAGCTTAGTCCCTTGATTGATGCAAATCCGAGACGATTCTGGGCCAAGTCAAATTCTGTATAGTATTGGCCAATGAAGACATCGCCCAATATCCAGAAATTTTCACTCATGGATTGAATGCCTAGCGTGCACTCATTATTCAGTCCATCAACTATAACATAGGCGGATGGAGGTATGCCAAACATCACTCCGTTAATGGCAAATGTAAGCACAGGCATTTGCGAAATGGTAGAGCAATCGACAATGCCAAATACGTTGACACCAACCACTTCCATAATTATCTGATAGGATGCGGCTGGTGCCATAATCAATGAGGTGCCCGTATCGACTATCGCCGGACAGTTGGTGCACAAGATGTTGCCATTTAAGGTGGCATTATCCATCATGAATTGCCAGTAACCCTCTCTCGTCACATTCGTATAGACCATATTGCCAATAAACCACATAGGATCAGATCCACCGAAAATCAATTCACCGCCATAGCTGTTGGAACCGTCGCTCGCCAAATAGAACGAGAAGATCTGTTTGCTGACCAGTCCCTGACTTATCATATTGTAAAACGGCGGCACCACATTATCAACAGACAGGCTCAGATAGCCCATTCCTAAAATGCCATCATAGCTCGATACCGATCCGCCTGTGTCCTGCGATGTGGCCAAGCCGAATGTCTGATTCTTTATATTCATGCCATTCACATTCACAACATCAGAGCCGAGATAACCAGTAATGCCACCACTGCCATAATTTAGGACCAAATCTTCCCCATTGGACACATAGCTGGTAGAGGCGGTCGCATTGAACATATTGTGCTCCCTACAGACAGGGCTACGGCATTTAATCGAAGGCACCCACAAATTCGCTGAGCCCGTATCGAACACCACCTGAAAGTCCTGAGGTGGTGTGCCAATAGTGATGAGACCATAGTATTGCATATTCATGAAGTTTGTGATCTGCTCTTCTTTCAGGGTTGTACTCGTCAGCATTGTGGTTGCTGTTGGTATGGTTGTGGTTGAGGTTGTTGAGCAATCACTACCCTGAGTCGTTGTTGATTCCACTGTCAGCTGGCTGTTGTATTTGTTACGCACATGGGCCACCTCGGCCTGGATATTGGCGCGTGTCTTCACAAAGTTCTTCTGCCTGTAGATGGGCACACGATGTAGCTTGTTGACACTGCTCCCACTGCTCCCACTGCTCCCACTGCTCAGGGTCAGTGCCAGCAGAAGACCACCGAGCACAATAACCGACTTCAGCATGTTCGTATCGTCTTTGATTCACTAAAGTTTGGAGCACTTGTTCCATGCACATTTATACGTGGGCGGTATTTTTATCGCGACAGGTAATTCAATCAAATCCCTTAAAATCGAACATAGATAAGATTTGCCGTATACCCCCTGAACTCATTAAGAATGGGTCAAAGGGGTATCTTGATGTTCTGCAACAGCCAGAACAAATCGTATGCAACCATATATATTTTATGTATATATATTCTTGATTAGCATCAAAATGCGAATGCATTTAGCTGTGTCCTTCTAGTCCTTCTATCTGAGTATATATCTACCTGTCCGTCTGTCTGTGTGCCCGTCTGTAAGCTTTCTCAGCTTTATTTCAATTTACGCCACGCTGCAGATGATAAAAGCGACAATTTAAAGATATATCTTACTCCAATAGTGATCATCTGTATGACGTGTGACATACACACATATATTTATATACCTATATGCAAACAAACATATATACAATGAGTGTAACAGTATTTTTGATTTGAATGATGTTATGATGAGACTTGGACTCAAGGTATCTCGTCGTCAAGCATTCTTCATTATTTTATTTTCCTTACATATACAATACTAATTGAATTTTAAGCCATCGCCAATGCAAAAAGTCCCAAAAAATAGATATGGGGCAGGGGCGTCGGTTAAGGTTTCGTCATCAGTGGCGTTGTCAACGGTGAGTCAAAACAAGACTTATATATTATATATAACAACAGTTAGCATGGGAATGTCATAAGGTACCAATTAAACCTGACAATTTAATTTAACGCCAATATATACATTATATTACATATTTGGACCCTACTTGCTCCTCACTTTGTGATATGAGTTTAAAACTGAATCTGGTATTTAAAATATAACGCGCCTCTTTAACAAATAAAATAAAACTTAAATAAAAACACTGGCAAATAATGACTAGCCCATTATGAAAATAAAATTATTTTGATTCTACCATTTTCAAGAACACAAATAAAAAAAGGGTTGGTATACCCAAATAAGAAATACTCTGATACAAATGTAATAGCAGCTGACAGAAATGTTTGACTCTTTGAAGGAGACAACAAATATCTATCTTCCGAGCTTGGCAACTTTAACTGAGAGTATAAAAAGTATGTAAAATTAAACAAAAGCATTTATCAATATCTTGCTGTATGAAATCATTACTTTATTTGCTTTCACACAAATGTTAAGGTGCTGCTTAGGCGACTGGAGCGAAACCAACGCGATTGTTGCCCAAATCGAACTCGGTGTAGTATTGGCCAATGAAGACATCGCCCAAGATCCAGAAATCGGTGCCCATATACTGGAAGCTCGACTGACACTCTCCATCCGACTGAATGATGTAGGCCGAGGGGCTCAGATCGAAGTTGGTGCCACCAATGTTGAAGGTGATCACGGGCAGGGAGCTAATCGTGGAGCAGTCGACCAGACCCTCATCATCGACGTTAAGGATCTCATTGAGGAGCTCGTAGGCATTGGCTGGTGCCACAATCAGAGAGGTGCCAGTATCGGCAATAGCCTGGCAATCATCGCACAACGAGTTACCGTCAGCAGTGGCACTATCCATGGTAAACTGCCAGTAGCCCTCCTGGGAGACGGGCACATAGGTTAAGTCGCCGCTGTACAGTGATGAGTCGGATCCGCCAAAGATCAGCTCACCACCATCGGTGGTGGAGGTACCAGCGCGTGCAAGATAGAATGAGAAGACGGACTGATCAACCAGACCCTGCGAGACCATGTTGTAGAACACTGGCACAACATCATCCTGAGAAATTGTCTGATAACCCATGCCCAAAATACCATCAAAGTTGGCATTGTTGAAGTTGGTGCCCGGCTCATCGGTGGCCTCGGCAAAGGTTTGGCTAGTAACAGACAGTCCATTGATATCAACGGTATCGGTGGACAGGAAACCGGACAGACTGCCGGTGCCATACTGAATGGAGAAGCTCTCGCCATTGGATTGATAGGTGGATGAGGCACTCGAGTCATACTGATTGTGCACTTCGCAGGCAGTGCTGGTGCAAGTGTTCGAAGGCACCCACAGATTGGAGGATCCCGAATCGAACAGCACCTCGAAGCTCTGAGGAGGTGTGCCAATGGTGATGGCACCGTAGTAAGCCATGTTCATCGAGTTGGACAGCTCCTCGTCGGTGACAGCGCGGATGCCAGTGGGCAGACCATATTTGGCGCGCAGATGCGAGAGCTCAGCCTTGACGTTTCCGCGGGTCTTCACGAAGTTCTCGTGCTTCAGGATGGGAACGCGATGGAGCTCGGCGCTGGCCAGGGCCAAGACGACAGCGAGTACTGTGATTGCTTTCAGCATTGTTACAATGGATCAATAGTCGACTAGAATTCGACTAATACTTGAGTGCTGCTTGGTCCGATATTTATACTAGTGATTCCTTCTATCGTCGCTAGATAAGATTGTTAATATCTATACAAGCTTAAGAAACCCGACCACAGCGCCAATTGCTTTACTATCTTCCAGCTGTACTTGACTGTACATGAAAAAGCAAAACAATCTAATGTGATTATGATTCCGATTGATGAGGGCATTAGTTATGAACGGTTTTACCGCCGCTGTCTGTAGCACTTGAATGGGGAAACTCCGAAGCATTGAATCCCTCCTTAAAGCCACTTATACCCATTACTTGAACATACGTAAATATTATATTAATCAGCATTACGCTCTAAATTTGTCAACTCTTCAAACAGTTCATAGACATTTTAATCTGATCAGTATAACTGATAGCTATAGCCAGAAATCGCAAAACTTGTCAACATGTCAACATATTTCTACCTATTCTTAGCTGGAATGATTCTATGGTAGTTATTTGAATTTATTTGTAATTTAAATGTAGTATTTTAAAAGGGATCAAGCTATTATTTAAAATGCATTGGTACTTTTTAATTGTATAATTTGTACATGTATTTTGACGCTTAATCGCTTTTGTACATAATAATATAATCAATACAAACCCTGATATACATTCGTAATATAAAGAATATAGTCTGTAACTCACTTCTAATTAATCACATTGGGTCTTTTTAGATTAATTAATGGATGCAACTATACAACCATATGTATAACTATATAAGTTTATACACGTGTAAGCAATTGGCAGATTTCAGTTTTTACATTCAACAAATTGTTTGCACAAAGATTTGCAAAAACCAATTAACAAATTATTCTAGCAACGTGTTATATTCGAATTGCCATCAACATATGTAAATGTTATTAATTTGGTCTTCCTCTTTACCCATTTGAATTTATGTGATTATATTTTTTATCATTTCATTATCTAAACGTCTGCTTATATATATGCCTACTTATTTTTACTCAGAAATAGTAATTATTGATTCAATCGTATCTTGTAAATGCGCCCTTGCCCTTGCCTTATATTTTTTTTATTTAAAATTCTTTTGTGTATTCTTTATAATATTTTTCGTCTTATCAAAAAATATTTTTCATATATATTTTCTGTGACTATTGGATAAATAATAAATCATATTAATTCTTAGAAATATATTTCGTTAATTATCAAGTTGAGATTGGCCGACAATAAGATATCCAGTACGTATGTACACATATATATATAAATATAGATATATTCAATTTGTGGAGTAAATTTGTTAAGTAATATGAAACAAACCAAGATCAATTCAATCTTTGAAACCAAATATGCTTACTATTGAGAACTGCAAATGATTGCATTGAGTCAAGCTTCCCTTCGGCATGATAGCATAGTTATCATATCAGCTCATTCTTCTTACATGTTTATGTTTATTTTGTTGAGCCCAGTAGAGTAGAGTTTATCGGGCCTTGACACAATATTGATGGCAAGCCAAAAAACCAATTCTTATTTAATTCTATTAATATAAAGTGCGTACTTGAGATATAGGCTTCTATTATCAATACAGAGATATAAACTGAGGTGCATGGCTCAAGTAAAGAAATTTTAACAAACAATCAACAATCTGCCGAAAAAGTAAGAATAATCAAAAAATATCGAATGATTCTAAAGAAAAACTGATTTTGATTATGGCAATACAGTTCAAGAATTCAATAACATTGAATTATTTCAGTGATGATATTAATTATTGCTAGTTTTCATAATATATGCATTTCATAAATATACTCATACAATAATGTGGGTCGGGAGAAATCTGAATTTAAATGGAAATTTATGCATTTTTGTGTTTTGGTTTCAAATGTTAATTAACTTGCACTAAGCATTACAAATTGACTTGTCAGCCATGTAGAACCGATGGGAATGGGGGAATATATATTTTGATGAGGACCAGGACCCACCAAGTGGCTGAATGTTAGCTAAGGTGCTGGTATGGTGTTACAAAGAGTTATTGTTTTTAATAATATATGCAATACAGACAACGGAACAGAACAGAACAGAACAGAATAAAAAGAGAGAAGTATACGTGGCACAGTGGTTAGCTGATGTGGCATGACCTAATGTTGCACTTCACACAATGGACCAAGATCAATGTCGGTGTTTTCTCTACTTCGTCCTTTTACTGTGTCAACTGTTAATTCGTTGCGCTACCAGCAGCAGGTCAAACTTAGTCAGAGAGAGAGAGATAGACGTAGATAGTTTGAGAGAGAGAGAGAGAGAGAGAGAAGGTTGTGGGTGTCGTCTCGAGCTGGATGTGTGTGAGTCACAGCTCTTTCGCTCAAGTCAAACAAATTGAAAATTTATCACCCGAAGATGATGACTTCTGATGCCAAATCAAATGCATTTTGTACACTCTGACCCCAAGCGAGCGGCGAATGGAATGTGTCACAAAAGGGCTTCGCATGGATCGTTTTTTTTTTTTTGGGTAGTCAGTGAAGCATTTGCAAATTGATTTCAACTGCCGATGATGAGACAGATCAACTGTGCTAAAAATCCAGAGCGGGAAACCCTATAGACAGCCGGGCTGGGCAGGCACAGGCTCTAAATATCCAATTTCAAAGCAGTTTCACACGCAAATGCCGACACACACACACAAGCACACACTCGCCAGAATAGAAGTCATTGGCCCTGTTTTTTTGTTGCTTTTTTTGCAGTTTTCTTGCGTCAGTGGCAGCGAATTTTTTTTACAGATTTGGCTGCGGGGGTGTCGGGTAGATCAAGCTACAGTGCTCACTCGAACATAAAATCTTATTGAAATTGGAATGTTCTACACAGAGAAAAACCTCCTACTGGTGAGATTTCATTTCTTGATTTTAGATTGTTGATCTTAAGTCTTTAATTTCCATCATTTTATATATTCCAATTAATATTAGTGATATAAATAAAATACATAGTTAAATATGAGCTATGAATCTACCTTTTGTTTTAATTTTGCTTACATGAATAACATGAAATTAAAATAAGACAGGAAATTTCTTTCAATTCTTGTGAACGTTAGAAAGCAAACTTAAATTCTGAAAACATGGAAAACATTATTTATGGAATTTTTCTAAAATTCTTATTTTGCATTAATTTATCATTATTATTTTGATTATATATATAGAGAGAAAACTAGAAAACTACATCTTTAAAATTGTAGCTTTTACTGCTATTGGGAAACGATTTTTGACTGTATCTTCGAAACGGCGTAAGTTATCGATACATGAACAAAATAAGATGAAATTGGTATACGTATGGTGTACGAGAACTTATATTGCAATCTGCTGATCAATAGAATGTATACTTTATGGTCGTAGATGCTTTCTTCTGTCTATCACTTAACATTTGCAAGCCCGTTTTAACAATTTTGCAGGGTTGGCTTTTTATATTCTGCAAGGCACAGTTATAAATATTTATATATTTGAATCAAGGCGTTTAGTTTAGAGTGTTCACTGTATCCACAGTAAATCGCAATAAAGCGCCACAGGCGCTGCACAGTATTTTTTATTCTTTTTTTAACTTCAATTTCATTTCGGGCTGATCGATTTTTGCACGCAAAGTGTGAGGGAGTCATTCTCCCCCTACATCCCCTCTCCCCCTTCCACACCACCTTTACGAGCACTTTTTTTTTGTAGTTAGGCATTGAATTTATTGTTGTTGGGGCACCCATCGGAATACATACATACATATATATATTTTATTGTTTGGCTGGCAAACAAGCAAACTTCTGCACCTCAGAACTCTGTTCGATACCCTGTTCCCGGATCGCAGTTGCCAGTTCCAGAATTCCCAACTCTCAACTGTCAGCTGCACCGTTTTTGGTGGTGCGTTGTTATCAGCTTGGGCTCCACCTACAAAGCGCCGTTGGCTACCGACCTGGCGTGGATCGTATCGGTTTTCTTTCTTTCTGCTCATCTCCAGTTACAGGGGTTGGGGCGTTGAGAGAGGAGCTGGGAGGGGAGGAGGACTGCGGCTTTTCTCCACATGCAAAACAATAATCAATGCCGCCATTCCATTTAAAACGTGTTAAAGAGGCAGCCCAGTGAGCAGGCAAGCCCAGACCGTTCCGAATCAAACGATCCAAAGATCCGACTGAATAATTCCCCCTCCCCCAAAACAACCTCCTCCCCCCCTCCTGCCCTATCCCTCTTTACACACGCCTACACTGCCGCCGCCCTGGCTTATTTGATTTTAGACGCGTTCATCGCACACCTTGCGGCATTTTAGCTCAGCTCTTTGTGGCTTGGACGATTGGGTTTCTTACGGTTTGGATTTTGTTTTTTTGGGCTGCTCTGCGTTTTGAATTTATGATGTGATTTCGATCATTTGACATAATCTATTTAGCGTACGCGCACATGCCGCATGCCGCATGCCGCATGCAACCACCACCAGCTCCAGCTCCAGCTCCTCAGGCCAACTCCTCACGAACTTCAACTTGGATAATGAGATAATTTTATTTGCTTTGCGCAATGGTTTTGGTTCTTCTCCTCAGGGTCCTATGGCCCAGGTCCAATGTTGTGCCCAGACGGTGTAGGTGTGGTGGCATCGCACTCGAATGATACAAGAACAATCAAAGCTCGCAACAGATGGTTGCACAGAGTTAAGTAATTTTTAGTAGACATAATTGATTTCTAATATTAAATACGAGAATGTATTATGGCCAAATACGAGTTTTGGGAATTATTGACAAAATCTCTCAAATCAATAATAAATGCAATAATTGTATTTTAAATGATGATGTCCAAAAGTATGAACTGTATAAAATTGCTGCCCAAACGGTAGTCAAATAAGTCCTTAAGTACTTGTCGGAAATCGATCAGTTTTTTGGTACGGAAATGGCTCATTAAGTAGTTAATGGTTTTAACTCAGACAGGCAACAGCAGCATAATATTATATGGTATGCAGTGCAATTATCTCACATTGCTGCAAGGAGGGGACTTTATAAACTAATATTCAGGTTGGAGTCAAT